TTACCTCAAAGTGCTCGGCGATCATGATTGTTTTATCTTTTGTTGACTTGCTCCAGGTCTCTTACCTCAAAGTGCTCGGCGATCATGATTGTTTTGACCTGCTCCAGGTCTCTTACCTCAAAGTGCTCGGCGATCATGATTGTTTTATCTTTCGCTTCGGAACCGTGGTGGCTTGGGGTGTCACGGAGGATCAAGTCAGGGATATCTGCAAGTTCTTGAAGCCCTTTTGCTTTTCAATACTGCCAGAATTTGAGTACGATGACATGTTCTTCATAGTCGAAAGAGGACCGCCGAATAGTGGTAATGATATGTTTCTCATCGTGGGTTCTTCATAGGACCTCCGAATAGCGGTACTGGAGTCTTGGACGTTTTTGAAGAGTTTTTAGGTTTGTTGTTCATAATCTTGGACGATGGAGGATAGTTCGAGAATCCATATTTCAGGTTACGTCGCAAAAGACCGGATCACTCTCGCAACGAAAAACGCGTTCGAGCGCTTAGCTTATATTACGGCCGCATTCCCACTAGCAAACTATCACAATTGCATTGCAACATCCACACCCCTAATAGCTGCTAATGCATGGCATTTCGCTCTTCGCATCATCTCGTCGCTTCTCTGATTTTCCCTTCTATAATCAGTTCACAGTGCATCGCATAGTCTAGAGACTGGTATGCTAGCCAGTGGTAGACTTCACGGTAGCCGAAAATCCAACCTGAGCATTCGCTTCTCTCATTTTTTCTCTCTAAAATCAGGTTGAGGCAGCTCTGTATTGTCCGTCGAGCAAGCAGTGATCGCCCCACTAGCAAACTATCACAATTGCATTGCAACATCCACACCCCTAATAGTTGCTACGCTTTTGGGCAAAGTGTCAAGCTCTCGGTATTTGAGGAAAGTGTGGAGAGCTCTATAGAACGGAACAAGACGATACCAGAACAAATGATGCGCACTGGTCAGTTGCCAAGAGCGATGACGAATCAACGAGTCGCGCAATACATGGGGGATCTCTTTGTTTATGAGAAGAATTTGATTCGCACAAAGCATGGGGGATCTCTTTGTTTATGAGAAGAACTTGATTCTGATTCGCACAATATAGGGGGGATCTCTTTGTTTATGAGAAGAACTTGTTTCGTACA